CAGGATTAGCGCTATCGACTGCGATAGAAGCCTAAGAGGGAACCGTGAGCGTCAAACTCTGCGTAGTGATTGGCGTATCAGTGGTTTAGACTTAGAGTGCTGCTTCTGATGGTAGATAGCTGATAGGAGTCGGTAATAGGAAATATTGTCGATGGCTGTTTCAGGTAGATGATTAGGCCCCAGAAAATCACTTGAGGACGGGAATGTTGATAGGATGCCATGCTATATAGGAGGGATTACAGCTCAAAGTTGTAGCTATCTTGTATTGCGTGGTTCCTGGCGTGTCGTGCTACCCAACACTACAGTACCGGCAGTCCAAGTAAGGTTGTTTAGAAAATTGATTCAAAGAAAGACAGCCGAATGACCAAACGCCCTTCCAACGCTCGGTTGCTGTGTATTGCCAAAAATATCAAATCATTCAAACGCCGGCATATTCTATGAACGTGATTACGAGATCACGAGCTCGTAAAATCACAGGCGTTCGTAATACGACAAACTGTGCTTCCGGGGCCGACCACGACCCGGCGCTGGAACCGGCTCCCGGCTCGGCTGCAGGCCGTCTTGTTAGGACGGTGGAGGGCCCACCGCACTCTAGCGGTCCACCTTGGACACAGCAGCTCCTTTTGGGGTGCCGTGACGTCTGTAGCGCGTGCCCCGTGCGCGGGCCGGCAGTTGGATGGGATGTGTGATAGTCCAAACCGGGCTGTGATGGACCGTGTCGGCAGGCGGCGTCTGGCATAATGAGAGCCTTGGAAGCTCTGTAGGGCTTTGACCGGTCGGTACGGTTAGGGGTGGAGTGGGGATGCTGTTTCTGCTTTTATGTGGAGCCATCATGTGCTTGAACCCGCCAGCCCTTTTTATCAAAGCAGCCATTCCGATCCTTCTTCACGTCACATTACGTTATAGTACTGCACAGCTTTACCGCCCCGTCTTTAATCGGCAGCCAGGTCAGCCCGTCTGTTGTTCCATTCACCGGAACTTTGTGCGTGAGCACGATGTGCGATATGCTGGCTTGTTTGTGTGTAGGTATACGGTTATGCCTGTCATGCGCCAATGTGTCTGACATTTGGGTGTATCTATGTGCCGTCAGGTTTTCTGCAGCTGCTCGGCCAGCTGACGGAGGTCGGGGACATCTCCCGGGAGGACTTCCTCAGTGAGTAGTTATGCTCAGTATCTAACTTATACTCTTCTCTACGCCGTTATAACTCCGCCAGCATTGTACGGTATTAACAGTGCCTTTACACTTAGGGGAAACCGTTGGGACATTTCTCGCCATACCATCGCATTTGCATTGTTCCGTCTTCGTGTATGTGCCGTTTTGTCTTCATCTTGTTGCCAGGTGTCGAGATATTTACGCATCACTGACGGTGGTAACATTACCCATTGCGTTAAACAGAAATGAGGACAGAAATTTCTGTCCTCATTTCTGTTTAACACAGTGATCAAGGTATTTTCATACCGAAATTACCCATTATCATATCTACTCGAGATCCACTCTAAGCCTCCCGCCGTCATGACTGGCCTAAACCGTATCCAAGCTTCTCTTAGCGACCACCTGTCCCTTTTCTGACGCTCATGATCACGCCTCGTCCCCGCAGAGCGCTACGAGGCCATGACGGCGTGTCCAAGCACCTACTACCCCGTTGTAGTGGAGGACGAGGTCAAAGGTCAGGTGGTGGGCGCCGCCACCCTCGTCATCGAACAGAAGTTCATCCACCACTGCGCCGTGGTGAGTGTGACCCGGGGTCAGCCTTTCTGATAGTCTCCAGCCAGAGTAAAGTTTTCCTGGTTTCCAGAGCTTTTCCGTTAAGGATGAAATGATATAAGAATCGCTAAATTATTTGCCTGCATGAGCCTGTGCCTACTGTAGTCGTCGATGAGTTTTGTCCATGTGTCGTGTTTACGGGCACTGAGATGAAACCAAGCCGTAGTGTCGGGGGGCAGATCACGTCTGTACAGTGTTCTACGACGACACCCAGTCGTTTTGATGGGTTCTGTCAACAGTTTTTGTTAGTCTCCAGCCAGAGTAAAGTTTTCCTGGTTTCCAGAGCTTTTCCGTTAAGGATGAAATGATATAAGAATCGCTAAATTATTTGCCTGCATGAGCCTGTGCCTACTGTAGTCGTCGATGAGTTTTGTCCATGTGTCCATGTGTTTACGGGCACTGAGATGAAACCAAGCCGTAGTGTCGGGGCATCACGTCTGTACAGTGTTCTACGACGACACCCAGTCGTTTTGATGGGTTCTGTCAACAGTTTTTGTTAGTCTCCAGCCAGAGTAAAGTTTTCCTGGTTTCCAGAGCTTTTCCGTTAAGGATGAAATGATATAAGAATCGCTAAATTATTTGCCTGCATGAGCCTGTGCCTACTGTAGTCGTCGATGAGTTTTGTCCATGTGTCCATGTGTTTACGGGCACTGAGATGAAACCAAGCCGTAGTGTCGGGGCATCACGTCTGTACAGTGTTCTACGACGACACCCAGTCGTTTTGATGGGTTCTGTCAACAGTTTTTGTGTCGCTATGACCACTTATGATGTGTGTTTATAGCCTGGGAAACGAGCGTTTTGTCTGGCGCGAGTGGGGTGTTGAGTGTCAAGGATTTTTTCAATGAACTTCGTTTAATTACACCGGTTGGTTTATGCTCTTTCTGATGAAAAGTTACCTTTTTCTCTAGCCTTTTGCCGCTTAAAAACTGTCACGCCATCGTTTCTTTTTTCTGCTTAGAATGTCCCTACGGTCCCTCAGAATCTATGTGGTGCTGTGTGTTCGCTGTGACCTCGGGGTGGCGTGGTATTCTGAGAATGGCTGGCGGTAACGTGATAGGGTGACAGTCAGAGGCGTCTCATATGACCTCCGACACTTTGAGGCGACTCGGGGGCACTGTGGAACGACTGACGGCACTGGCAGACCCCAAGTACTTTGGTACCGACAACTGTTTTGGAGCGACTCTGTTGACCCCAGACTGATCCGTTTAGATCAACCGACCCAATAATGAGTCAGTGACCTCTTCAGAGAGGCATCGTGGATCCATCCGAATTCAATCCGACTTGATGCTCTGTAACGCTGGCTAGGTCAAAGGTCCACCTAACGAACTCCGTCGACTGACCCACCGCTTTCCGTCACGATGACCTCTGGTACTTTCACGACTGACCCGAGTCTCCGTGAGTGGTACTGACCGGTGTCCGGTGCTCTCCGTTACAGAGAGGCCGCTTGGAGGATGTGGTGGTCAGCGACGACTACCGCGGCAAACAGCTGGGAAAACTGTGAGTTAGAGACGGGACATTCCGGCCTTCCTCCCGCCTGTCATAATTGCGCAGAAATACACTCACTAGTGAGTCAGGATCGTATCACCCTTCTCTAGTCAAAGTCTATTAAGGTTAAACCATGTTAAACCACTTCAATGACCCTTATTTTGCTTTACTGTGCGGGGTTTGTTTGTTTGTTTTGTTGGGTTAGGCCCTTTCGGTCTGACAACACCATTTCAGAGTCGGAAGGATGATGGGAATTAGGGGGAGACATTTGTCTGAGCAGATACCCTAGAGAGTCGCCGGGGCTGAGCCCGTCCGAATGGACAGGCCGACCAGGCCCCCCCCCCCCCCAAGCACTCTCTGCACCCGGCTACGGGGTGCGCTCCCTCGGGAGCAGCGTGCCGCTCCAACGCTCCAAGGGAGCAGCCCGCATGAGATAGGGGTGTCTGTCCAGCCTGGAGAAGGGTTTGCGGCTTGGAGGAAGAGGATTTGAACATTCTGAGGATGAAAACGACGGAACGGGTGCCCTTCTCCTTTGGGAGGTGTCGGGTTTTGTCACCCTGGTGTGCCACGTCCTGACCCCTGTCCGCTCTCCCCAGGCTGATCGCCGTCATCACCCTGCTGGCCAAGCGGCTGCACTGCTACAAAATCACGCTGGACTGCAAGGACGTCATGATTCCCTTCTACTCCAAGATGGGATACACCAACGAGGCCGGACGCGCAAACTACATGACCATCCGCTATGACTGACATCTAGTGGCAGCTCTAGGAAACGGTAGTTAATGTCTACGCCATGCCGCGCTCCGGTCAAGGCGGGGCGAAGTGGATTGCTGACTCGTGTTTCGCCCAGATTTTGCCAGTTTGCATCGATTTTTAAGAAAATGTGGTGGTTAGTTTCCATTCCCAGATCCGGACACCGACGCAGCCCGCTCAACCTTCGCTCACCGAACCCAGTGACCAATGCTACTCGAATTATAAAAATGACGTCACTGGTGTGCGTGATGACGTCACTGTTCTCGCACGGTTTCGTCATCTGAGTGTAGCTGGGGTTGTCGGACACAGACTGAGCATGGAACTCGCCATCCTCGGCTCCCCAGTGAAGACTCAGGGTGGAGGTAGCGGCAGCAAGGTCCGAGCATGGTGGTGGTGTGAATGCGTCGAACGATTCTATTTTTATACGCGTTTATCGATATTTTACAAATCGTGGCAATGTCGGGGATCTTCAGATGGTGTTGCAATCAAGGCCGTTGCAATATGAATTGTTCGTTTGAGATGCAAATATTTTAGCATGAACTATTTGATGCCAGTGATAATTATCGAACACGGGTGGATGCGATCATGATTGTGATTATAAACGTCGCCCGAATCGTCCGCGAACAATTTATCGAACATGTCATCTTTTATCATGCAATTGTCACCACTTTCACACGATCGATGCCTCTTATTTTCCTCTCTAGATCATCGGTGGTGACGATGAGGAATTGTGGCTCCAGTCCTCAGCTCGGGGAGTCTGTATCAGTGACGCTGCATTTTCGGCAGCTCCGTTGCACGGCGATTGCTCCCGAAACTGTCTGGCAATGTTGACCAGTGCTGCGTTTTGTTCAGTTGCAAATGGATTGCAATATATTTTGTACAAACCTGTTGGGTTGCAGACAGTTTTTGAAGGTTGTTTCGCCCACGGACCCTTTGATATTACCCCGTGATTGAATGGCAGCGTTGCCATTGGTGCCGATTGCGTCTCTGAAGACAAGGCGTTGTCTCGTGACGTTTTATTTGCACCAATTGCACCAAATGGCATAGCCAAGTCAGACAAACGACCAACTCGCGTTACAAAAGCGAGAGCAAACAACATTACACCTAGTTACCGCGCCCATGTGAAAGGCTTCCATTGGTCCCAGGGTCCAAATATGTGCACCAACCACCGATCGGTAGCCGGTAGCCGCCTAAATACCACACATACATCTACTTGAGCTACGTGAAACAGCCTCGTCCGCTTCAAATAAAATATATGACGATCACAACAGACAATAGATATACGTGCACGATCCGCCACGACGGCGGTATACATTGAACAACGGCTGTCGAGTATAGGGTATCATGTGACCGTGTGGTCAGCCCAGAGTGGTACTATGGGTTCATCGCGGGCCGTATTATCGTCAGAGTGAAAAACAACAAGCATGCTATCAGCTGGGCATCGACACAAGCTGCCACTGCATGCTGGTCAAGAGACTATTGAAAAGTGATCCAATACTATAGATCCAAAATTACAAATGAACGGTGTCACAAAACTGACTAGGCCAAACCACTCGATTGTATCGATAAACTTCAAGCACCTCTGACTTCTGAGGCAGGACTGCAATACTTAGACGGGAACAAAACGTCCCAAAAATGGAAGACGACGAAGTCGGAATACCCGCACCCGTACGTCTACCGCCTTGTCTGGCAGGCTCTCTCCCGTCCCGCGTGTCTGCTGTGACCAGGGCTGCGGAGTCAGAGTCGGTCGGAGTCGACAGTTCTGACAGTCTGACCGGAGACGATGATTTCTGAAAGCCGGATTCGGAGTCGAATTCGGAATCAGCGAAAATCCAGACTCCACAGCCCTGGCTGTGACTACTCCTTATTACCCTCCTCGGCCTCCTCATGGGACTGTCCTAGATGTCCCCCATTTAACTCGCCGTCTCTACTTTGGTCTGAAGTGATTCTGCCGCCGTTTCTCGACACATCGCCTTCTGTTCAGCCAGACTGTGCATCAAGTCACCGCTCAGCCCGACTTGGGTTTGAGGCCGTCGCGGACGTCGGCCGGGATGTGCTGGACGTACCAGTCGTGCTCCACGCCGGGCGCCGTGGCCAGTACGCCCGTGGCGTTCATGTGCTGCACGTCGGCCCCATAGCGCAGCTGGACGCCGTGGATGTCGGTCAGTCGGCCGCCGAGCGCGGTGAGGATCGCCTCCGGTGCACACGTGTCCCACTTCTTGCAGCCAGGCGAGGCGAACACGTAGGCGTGCGCGCGTCCCTCGAGCAGCAGCATCACCTTGTGTCCGGCGCCGCCGACGGCCAGCACCTGGTCGGGCTGCAGGGCCTGCAGGGCGCTCTGTACCAGGCCCGTGCTGTGGCTGCGGGTGGTGGTAACGATACGGGAGTCGGCCGGCGGCGCGCGCGGCTCGAAGCCGGCCACGCCGCCGCCGCGCAGACCGAATATGGTGCGCCCCTGCGGCTCCGACGGGTGCTGGTAGTTGAAATACGGCTGGTTGATGACGCCCGCCGCGGGCTCACCGCCGGCAGCGATACCGATCAGCACCGTCACGTGGTCCAGCAGGCCTGCGAGGGACGGGGTCACGTGGATGAAATCACTCACTACCCCTAATGTGTCCTGACTTAGCAGAATGTTGATGCTTTACAATAATGCCGAGAATTAGCAAGGTGCCCTTCAAGACTCAAGAAAACAAACAGCTATGGCCTGACGTGCCTGCTAATGGTTGCCCGACTTGCAGCTCGGTCACCGTGACGAGCAGTTCACCAATATCTACGGTACCAGACCGTGAAGGGCCAGTGAGGCCAGTTGGGAAACAACCCTTGTAACAAGGGAGGTTTCTCGAACAGTTGACACCCCCTCGAACAGTTCAGACAAAATACCGCGCTTGACTCGACAGTCATCTTCAAAGAACCCGCTTGTCCAAACACTGTTACATAGTAGTCTGAAAGCTTGGACGGTTTTTCAGTCTGGCATAGAGGTCTAAGTTTGCCTGAGCTTATAAGCTTGCGTGCTTCTACTCAAGCAAATGGAAGTCAACGAGCAAATAAGGCGCGGAGACGGCTGACACTATGACAAAGTCATTTGGTTCCATGTAAATAAAACAGGGAGGAAAGTGAAAAACGTTTGTAGTTCAAAGAAGTCGGTTTAACTTACCCTGAGTGAACTCCTTAGTTCCATCCAGCGGATCCACCCACACAACAATCTGAAACGAGCAAACATGCCACAAGAATGAGAATGAACCGTAGACACCCATAATTCATAAAAACACAAAATTCAAATGGTTCACGCAATAGCAAACAAGAAAAAACATCGCAGCGACCGGGGACAACCCATCAATCTCTGAATGCATGTAAATGCTGGATTGCATGCTGGATTTCCATCAGCGGTACTTCAGTGATACGGCAGTAATTCATATTTTCCGACAATGTGAGCCACCTCTGAACTGCAATGTTGGCCAAATGGCATTGTGCTTCCTCATAAGCCAGTCTTTCAGTCCCGATATGAGTCGCATTAAGCTCACCAACGCCCACATCCCCTCCCCATCAGTCACGCATGAACCCTCCGCCACCCACCTGGTCCTCCGTGATGCCGGTCAGGCCCTCGGGACACTGGAGCGTCTCCGCGCGCGGGTCAGCGCCGGACTCGACGATCCAGTCGTCGGGCACCGGTCGGTCGTCCGGCTCCTCCTCTCCGATGATGGTGAGCCGGGGAAACTGGCGCGCCAGGTTGGCCACGATACAGCGCTGCGCCGACCGGTCCGCCTCCGTCTGCAGGTCGTTAATGCCCTGAAGCAGCGAGAGAGGGTCAGTGAGGGTGCGCAATACGAATGGGACATAGCACCGACACCAAGCGCCACTTAGAAGGCATGTACCCTCAGGCTTAGAGATGAAAATCATATGCACTACTCAGTTCTCATCTTGAAGCGGAAAATGTATTTTCTCTTTTTTCTCTTTCTTATGGCGAGCATACACTAAATTTAGGGTAGCGCATTTTACTTACTACTCAGTACGACGCGGGCAAGTTTACACTTATCGGCTGGTCGCTGGATGTAGCGGTTCACATACGATTGACTAAATTGACTGACGCCGTGGTAGGGCCTATCGAACATGCACGTCGCGCGTACCGTTTTCTGTACGATGCCCAGATCTCCGGCTCGGAGGATGCCTCTGATGATCTCGGCAGCCCGGTCGGCAATCCGTACAGAGGCGCCCATCACCCGCTGGACGGCCGGCACAGACGTCATCTCCGAACTGCCGAGGAGGGTAGGGATATGTCAGTTGTAGGTAAGAGCTACGGAACAGACGTCATCTCCGAACTGTCGAGAAAGGGGGATGTCACTTGTCAGGTATGCGTAAGTAAGGCCTTGGGTAAGGCCACCATGAAACAGACACTTGCTCCGACCTGCCAAGGGGACAGCACAGCTCCCAGAAATAAGGTTCGTAATATATGGCGTTATGGATGGCGTTACAAGGATAGCAAGTAAGCGAAAATTTACCGATAGAACTAATAGTAACAGCCGTTAGCATTGTTCTGTAAGTGCAGTTATAATTTATCTGGGTGCTGTATTAATATGAGAGTGACATGACTTTCATGAAGGTACAAGTCTCGCGGGTTTTAGCGGTAGATTTTGCACCTAGAAAATTTAGTGTACTTCAGGCTATATCTTCGTCGTCGCTATATCTTTAAGTGTTGAAGATGCGATCGACTTGTTGGGTAACAAGCCGGCCATGATCGTGTAAAATGGCTTCATCGTAGATCGATTAGTTTCAGAGATATAATCGGAAATGTAGAAGTGCAAAACCTACCGCGACCCGTACGCGCCAGTATTTCGTCACTATCTCTGACAGCACCAGCTAGACGACGACGAAATACGCATAGGAGCATTCCAGTAACATTGCCGAACCAATGAAGAATTATCCAGCATTCGAATGAACGAAGCTTCACGTAGTTTATGACAGCAATTCACAACCGATAACACATCCTGTTATCGTGTTTGAGGACGTCGCTCTTATCGATAGACGAGCGATTCTGAATCGCTCTAAACTGAACGCAAAATTCCATCGCGTAGAGTAGCGCTTCCTTACCCGGACATTTTCGAGAAACTCAGCCGTCAATGGTCCTACAACCAGCCAATATCACGCACACACACTAACACCGCCTCCGTGCGCCACCACCCACCGCCGCCCGACAGCGACGCGACGATAACACACGGAGTAGGTGAGTGGCGGGGGGACCGGCACACTCGGCCCGCCCGCCGCTCCAGCCGCATGATAACGATGACGGTGCACTAATGTACGGCCGACCGACGCCGGACGCCGGGGCACGAGCGACATCTTCGGGTTGTCGACAGGATGGGAGGGCTGGAGACGGGAGGAGATCAGTGACGGCGACGACTGGCTGGCTGACTGCATAGCCAATCTGCCCCAATAACACTAGTGAATACCATTTAAAAGGCCAAGAGCCGGTGGTTCCAAACTGAGCATGTCCCATATGTTATTGCACAGCACCATGACTCCATGCATGATCAGAATGTGATGCTACGATGTCAAGTAAAAACCTGGCATCATTGTATGCAGCAGAAATACCACTTTCTAATGCTATCAGATGACGTCATGGTCTCATGGATATCAAAAGGGTCATAGATGTTATGTATGTCACCATGTCAGAGCAGAATGAGAGCTCAAATTTGAGCATCAAGCTCCTAGTCAGTCATGCATTATGAGCCTGAGTTCCTGAATTCTGACAGTGGATTGTTTTACTATGAGTAGCACAAGTAGCATACCTCCTCCTTGTTGAACAATTCACCTTAGGCCACTTGTATGTTCTTTCTCTACATTTCTAGAAAAAAAAAATGCAGGGACATGACACGACTGACCTTCCTGGGTGTGACGTTGGACTAGCAGTTAGCACCATAGGAGGCAGAACGGGAAGGGCACCAGGGCACCGTGCCACCCTTTGAGGCATTTTAACATCAGCATTCAGCCCTACCTATAGGCGTTGCATGGAAAGAATGGGACCAAGTCAGCAGTGTCCCCCTTAATTGAAGGTGTTCCGCCACTACTGAATAGCACATCAATTACCAGGACCTACCATGAAGCATCATTCACCATTATGGTCTGTGGGAATTGTGACAAAGAACCTATATAGAGACACAAATCATGGAATGGTATTACCTACAAATTTAAAGGGACCCTCCCACCTTCAAAAAAGTTAATGAATTGGCATGAAAGTGATGTCCCTTGGTTCAGAAAGAGCGAAAACGAATATCTACCAAATTTCACCGAAAAATATTCACTGGTTTTCAAGATATTAGGCTTTTACTTTTGTTTACTTTTTGGGATCTTTCCTGTTACTAGCGACTTTATTTGGAAGCAATAATTTGGCAGCCTTAAAGTGCGGCAGACGTTGCGCGCAAAGCAGCGTATACCACCACGTGTTAACGATGGTTTTAGTCTTAGATTTAAAAATCGTTAGATCTCCGCTGACGTCACAAATTCTAAGGGGGCATTCCAATGCATTAGCCCCTTAGAATCCGAAAACTGCAAGTTTGAAATTCCATATCTTCGAATTAAAGCATTTTTCGATGTTGTGAGTGCCCAAACCGGTATTTGCAGGCCATGGCCATCAATTTGGCTATCTCAACTCAAAACTAATGTTAAGGTGGGAGTGTCCCTTTAAATAAAAAACTTGCGAGTTAAATGAAAGAAAATTTTAGCAGCTTTGATCAAAACTTTAAAGACATGTTGTAGGCTAGGTCATGTTGTAGTTGACTTTGCTTCTGGTGGGAAGACTGAAGAGCCCTAAATTTGAAGTTCAAGTTATTATTATTCGCTTCAAGATCATCTCAAAGTTAAAGACGGAAATGACACAGCGGCAAAAATGAAAACCCTCGAAAAGAAACTGTTGAAATGAACATGCATTTCAGAAAAAAAACATAAAGGCTCACCTTTATCGTTATTCTATTTCAATTTGCAAATTCTCCACCTACCACCTAAATTTGAAATGCTTGAGCTGAACGGATATCATGAGAAAGCAAGTCAAAGTGAGAAAGAAAGAGCCTGAGCAACGCACATCAGTCTGGGGCATATATTAAGGTGTTCAGCGACTATGACAGCAGGTGACTGTCCACGTATGCAGCAAATCAAGTGCAGCGTTTCTAAGCGTTTCTGTCAAATATCTTCAGCATCGTCCAAATTGAATAATATTTTTCGGAGCAGCTGCGGTACATCCGTCGAGGTAATGAGCTTCCAAATTTGCTTCCATATTTCCCTATAACTCCCAAATAAAAACATTTTGACCACATCCCCCCCCCTCAGTAACCTTGCCTCCACTGACGGATTTAAAAAAAAAAATTAGTATCGTTGCGTAGCGTAATAATCCTAGTTAAAATGGGGGGAGGGGGTAATCACTCACGCATGGGCTTATAATGTCCTCAGTGGTCAAATTAACGTTTAATTCAGCTGTTATTGCCACAAATTGCGAGCAAGCCCTATTTTTAGGCCACCGCTGTCCCGAGGTCAACGCTTACTGGTCGACCAACAGATAAACTCGTCGTTTGAGGTCAATACTTTCGGACAATTTAAAGGACACAATGTATTTACAAGTTACAACTCACACCGATTGTGGTTCAACAATAACAAACCTCCCCTACCGTGCACCCTGACCCCGTAAGGCCGTAACTGCGTCTTAGTACGGTATATAATATTGTGAGCTGGAATATGAGCCAATGGCCTGCTCAATACGCCGTAACATATCACCGACAATCTGCATTTGAACGCTGCAAGCCCGGTGGGTAGCCCGCCGGTCTCGGCAACCGACAGCCTCGTGCGGTACCTGTGGTGCGGAACAATGCATCGCCCGTCCAAACCCACCGTAAGCGTAACTCACGCTGAATAGTTCGCACACGAATTGCGATGCATCGGTGTCTTCATATTTTATCCATTCGCGTATCACAATGCACCACAGCAACCGATGCTATTGCGAAGTAAAATGCATAAAACCGTGCGAGTCTAATCGGAGACACAACCGACATATGCAATTGTGAAGGAAGGCAACACAACTATCTGCCAGATTTGGTGATACGCAGATACGCCAAAATATGGTGCAAGACAGCACCATAGCATTCCAAGTTCGAGCATATCGCTGAGAAGCAGCGGTTTGTAAGGACTATGGGGTCCCAAAACTGTAGTGCCCCTGTGAGCAGCCATTAACACAGACACAAACACAAAGCACGCATTAAATACTTAAGTATCTCTCCCACTTTTCCCTAGTGCATACACAACTGCTCCAAACCCATTCGAAGCCATAAACTACCTTGGAAGTTGGAAACCCGAGCTAAGACGGTCGCGGTATCACTGGACGAGCCGCGCAGAGGCAGTATCACGAGTATCATCGCACGAGGAGCAGCAGCGCTGCTGAGCGTGATACCACCGGCAGAGCTGCCGTGATACCACCGGCAGAGCTCCCCAGGACAGAGTGCGACATCAACAACAACCGTGACTTTGGATAATGCCCTGACACAGCGGCCATAACATACACAAACACAACAAATGCCCGGCTTTGACGCCCTGAGTGTTCCTCTAGCGTTCCATTCAGGGCAGTGCACCCTAACTTCTCCCGGTTATAGCCTCTTGGTGGCCTACAGCCTGGCAAATACTCTCGTCACGGGTAGAACAGTGTTACGTCTTCGGACGGACGTCAGTCGTAAAAGACGTGAAGCACATTACTGAGCTGACGTCACGGGTGTTGACGTCACACGTCATAGAACAGACTGGCCAGCGGGTAGCGTATCACGAACGCCAAACAGCTGCACATCACCTGCGGGCAAAACAAACAGACTTATGCAGGATATTGATTTATGATACATGCTCGATAGCCGTGTACAGAACAGCGTTATGATAGAGGACTGCCGATATGCCGTAGGTAGCATCCTGTTGAACATGGAAGCTGCTTTATAACATCATTAAAAATGAACAGCACACATTCCATGAACGACCCTGATTGCGTCAAGTTGGCAATGTTACAGTCAGAACCTCACGTTCTCCAACAACCTGTCTCATCCCATTCACATCAACTGAAAGCCTTCACCATTCTAATGACACACAGCGGCTCGACCTGACGGCAATCTCTCCCCGGCACGCACCTGTATTGCCAGCAGCGCCTGTGTGACGCGCCGCTCGTGCAGCGGCCCGGCCAGCTTCAGCAGCAGGTTGATGATGGTCAGGTTGTTGCAGGTGGTCATGCCGCCGCTCTCCGTCAGGTGGACCACGCCCACGGCGTGGCCCAGCCGCAGGGCCAGCCGGCCCGGCCAGCGCAGCGAGGACATCCGGAACGTGGAGGTGGACATGTGCAGACGGTCCGTCTTGCGGTCGTACCTGGGGGAGGGGAGGGCGAGAGGTGTCACTTGTCAGGGGAGTGGGAAAAATGACGCTGTAAACCCGATGTAACTAGAGAGTGATCGCAATGAAATTTTCACACCTTGATGACGTTTTGTGAGCTGGATATAAGACAAACTAATTAATATGAGACAGCTTCTCCAGGGCTGCCTATATTATCACATAGCAGACTGTGACACACTTCGGGGAGAAGTTCTTTGCAACACTGCAACCGTGCACGAAGTGGAATGAACGAGCACCCGCCTTCACTAACCTGGGCAGCCGGTGACGCGGACACGGCACGAAGTGGAACAGCTGCGGCACAGAGTACACAAAGTTGGCGATCTGCGGCAGGAAGAACAACAGCATCGTCTTGCTGAAGTGGCCCAGGATGCCTATGACGGCGAACGTCATGCCGGCGAAGTAGCAGTAGGTGTCGCCGACGAACGCAGCCGACGGGTACCTGCCGGGGAGAAACGAAACCGACGTCTTCTCTGGGCATTCACACCATCTGACTGAGCGGCAGCAATATCCGATGACACAAATGTATGGCATAGTAAAGCAGTAAAGCAAATTGAAACTTTTCAACGATGATAACATTGAATGCACCTTCACCACCAGTATATATGTGGTAGAGTAGTCCTATCTCCCTCACCAGTTGTGATAGAGCAGCGCCAGGCTGACACCAATAAACGGCAGCAGCAGGTACAGTGAGAACAGGTGCGTGTCGCGCAGCGGTCCGCCCAGCTCGGCCACGTTGTGTGCCAGCAGCGAGGCGGCTATCACCACCGACTGGCCCACCTCCAGACCGTTCACCCCGGCCAGGATGTTGATGGCGTTCGTACAGAACACGGCCAGCATGCCCATGTACACGTAGTACAGCGGACCTGA